GTGTGTGTGTGTGTGTGTGTGTGTGTGTGTGTGTGTGTGTGTGTGTGTGTGTGTGTGTGCGTGAATATCGACCGTACCACTCTCCCTCAGTTATGCGTGATTATATCTCTGTGCTTTCTCCTGTTTTCTCATCTTATTCTCAGTTTTTGATCACGAGAATTTACAATCTGCGCTGTTTATCTTACACTTGCGCACACTCATAATCCACACCCCATTACCTTCTTAGCCCATCTTTTACTCTGTCCCTCTCTAGACATGCAGCTGTTACTCATCTTGTGTTTCGCCCCTTTCCCAAAAACATTCCAAATCACAACCTTTTGTCTTATCTTCATTTTTTGATATTATTGTCCGAGGTATCCTAATCACCCCAGTCATTCATAACTAGTAAACAGATGGCCAAGTTCACTGGTGATGCTGTGCCATTAATTGTGAGGCTGCATGATATATCGACCCACGGTAGGTTTCTGCAACACATCAATATAAGCTACAACAGCACACAAAACCGTACAGTACAGGATGGAGGAGCTCAGACAGAATTTATGTGTACTGCAAAGCAGACATATATGGTTAATCATAAAAAGTCAGTTTTATTGGCAGTTCCTTTATTTACTATCAGGACACTGAAAATCCTATATACTTCAGGTGCAGTGATTTTAACTGAGACACACATGCAGCTACACATATGTACCTATGAAACACATTTGTGTCCAGGGGCACAACGCAGCCCAAAATGGCAACTTTTGTTAACCATACAGCTTCATGCTGCTGCCCACAATTATTCGATGATTACATGGCACCATAGTCTCACTTATCTATCAGTGTAGCTCACTGTGATGCTCATCATGAACAGCATGCAATGCACTTATGTTTCATGGACCATATCATTAGAGATCTATTTTGCAGAAAGAGAACACTAAGGACAGTAAAAAGCCACAACCAGAGATGCAGTTGCAGAGCTTACTGTATATTTAGGGACTACAATGACTTTTCACACAACCTCCCTTCAAGAATGTGAGGCCACAAATAAGACAAAATAGATGCAATGTTACTCATGTTAAAACATTCCCATGGCCTATCTGAAAGTGCAGCATAGCACAATATAGACAACAGATCAAGACTCAAGATTTTTATTTACCATTTATGCATAAACAGGCAGTCTAGGCATATAGGAATTCTTGTGCAGCTCTCTTGGAGTCAGGTAAAGAGTTAAAAGCCAGAAAAGAATATCTAGTCTGAAAATAAAGTTACATAAGAGTGACATAGCATAAAAATGCATTCAAGATAAAAACACAATACAAAAAAATAAGATAATAGATAATGAATGAGATGGTGAACTTCAAATATTGCACATAGTATTTCACATAGTGGAGTTGGATATGGTATTTCACTTAGTTAGACAGTAAGGGGTTATTGCACATGTTTCTTAGATGACTTCCTGCTGGCCCTACAATGTCCGGCATGCACCATTTTTGAAATGTCAGATAAAGCAGATGAAAAAAAGGAATAAACAGCCCCTTTGAGGGCAAAATCTGGACATTTGCTATTTACATTGACTTATTTTCAACATTAAAAAGCAAAATAAAACAAGCAAAAAACTTAAATGCTTGTGCAGCACTTGGAATCAAACATCAATTATCTACAGTATAACTGTTTATATTGTTCAGGACTGCAGGTGCTGGTTGAAGCTACAAGCTGAATATATTGTACACTGTAAAGGTGCACCCACTGTAGTTCAGTCTGACATGTTAAGAGGAATGTTCAAAGCTTCAACTGGGGGTTGGGGGGTGTTACTGATGGTAGAGTTTCCCAGCATGCACGCTTTACCTTAGCTATGACTTAAACCTAATCCTAACCACAACACTAAAACCAACAGTTCATACACAACCATTACATGTGAAGATATAACCCATTTTACATTAAACATAAGTACCTAGAACAGAATTTCCATAAGGAATAATGGTAAACAAGAAGAAAGTCATCTGTTGTGTTGCTACTGTAATAACAATGAAAAGTTCTGTAATGAGATGAGAATAGTTTTGGCATGGCCAGAGGTTTGCTCCACACTGGTTATTCTCCATCACTCTACAGTTATGGAACTGTTGCCGCCAGGGATACCAGGGGCCTACTTCAAGAAGGCGGTTTAACAAACTCAGAGTTCAAACCTGAACTCTGAGTTGACTTACCCAGAGTTGGAAAACTCTGAGTTTTCGGTTTCAGAATAGCTGAAAAGAGTTGGTTTAATCAACTCTGAGTAGTTTGACTCAAAGTTAGGCGCGTGCCACGCGACTATAAAAACCCCTGAACAATGGAGTGAAGAAATTACGAGTCACCATGGCAACAGGACCAAGCCAAAATAGGTCTGCGTTTTTCCCTGACAGAAATGGATGTGCTACTACAAGCATATAGTGACTACGAGCCCATATTTCGTAAAAAA